GAGAGACCACTAAGGGAAAGATGGGTGGGCCACTAAAGGACAGATGAGGGGGGAGGAGAGACCACTAGGGTAAAGATGAGGGAGGGGAAGAACTCTAAGGGACAGGGGAAGGGAGAGCACCATGGGAATGGGGGGCAAGGAAGAGCACTAACAGTCAGGGTGAGCATTAAGGGTCAGGGGAGAGCACTAAGGGACGGGGGACTGGGGAGAGCACTAATGGATAGGAAGGGAGATCACTAAGGGATAGGAGGGGAGGGGAGAGTTCTAATGGACAGGGGGAAGTGAAAGAGATCATTTAGGGGTGGGGGGAGTGTAAGACACACAGAGAGGCTGAGAAAGGAATGAAAGAGAAGCACAGAAGGGCTGGTAGGGGAGACAGAGACACACAGAGGAGCTCAGGAGAGAAATACACAGAGGGGAAGGATGTAAGAGACATACAAAGAGTGGGGGATAAGAGACACACAAGGGGCTTGTAAGAGATGCACTAAAAGGGGTGTAAAACACAAAACTTAAAGAAAAAATATACAAAATAAATCTAATAATAAAAATAAAGAGCTGCTCCCCTCTCAGCCCCTATCCTACGCCACAAACCCTCTCATTCAAATTACACACATACACAATGCATCCTTACACATACACAAAAAACATACAGTGCATCCCTTCTCACACACAGATACACCGAAACATACAATACATCCTACACTCACATAGAAACACACCATGATTCCTGGGCCAGATTAAGAGCCCAGTGGGCCTGGTGCTGACAATTATGATGGGCCTAATTACAAAATCTTACTGACCAAAATCACTAAAACAGTTCTACCTCCCAAGCGTCATGTATCTGATGGAGTTGGTGCTGGAGGGAAACTCATAGGATGCAGCTATGAGAAAACACATACCCTATGCTAATCTCACGCTTTCATCTTTTAAGTAAACCCATACCCCCTAACAGCAGTGTCCAGTAAAGCAGGAAGTCTATGGACGGGGTAAAAGGGTGGGCCACTGACACAAATCACATAACCAGAACTGCGAAAAGGGGCAAACATACACAAAAATGGGGGCATGTCTGTGTCCCCATGTATCCCAGTGTCCCTATGTCACTAGGGGACACTGGGACTCTTGGGGACACTGGGAGACATGGAGACACTGTGTGACTTTGAGACATAAGGGGACACTGGGAGACATGGGGCACTGAGACACTGTGATACAGAGGGGACACTGTAGACTTGGGTACAGGTCAAAATGTTGCGGTGTCCAATAAACCTGCTTAATATACTACAGTGAGTGCCTGCGATTTTGTTCTTTTATACTAGGGGACACAGACACTTGGGGGCACTGTAAGACATGGGGACACTGGGAGACTAGGGGATTCTGAGAGACTAGTGGATACTGAGACACTAAGGACACTGAGAGATACCAGGGACACTGGGAGACATGGAGCACTGAGACACTCTGATACATAGGGGACACTGAAGACTTGGGTACAGGTCGAAACGTTGCGGTGTCCAATAAACCTGCTTTAATCTATCACAGTGAGTGCCTGAGATTTTTTTTTCTTTTATACTAGGGACACTGAGACACTCTGAGATATGGGGACGCTGGGAGACATTGGGACACTGAGACACTGGGAGACTAGGGGACTTTGAGAGTCTAGGAAACACTGAGACACTAGCACACTACAGACATTGAGAGACACCAGGGACACTGGGGGACATTGGGATACTGAGATACTAGGGACACTGGGAGTGCCCCATGTCTCCCTGTGTCCCCATGTCTGTCAGTGTCCCCTAGTGTCTCAGTGTCCCCATGTCGCGTATCCCTAGGTCTCCCAGTGTCCCTTAGAGTCTGTGTCCCCATGTCTAAAGTGTTTCGATGTCACTAGGACACTAAGGCACTAAGGTCACCAGGGACACTGAGACACTAGGGACACTGGCTGGGAGACATGGGGACACAGAGACTAGGGGCCACTGTGTCCCTAGTGTCTCAGGGTCCCTATGTCTCCCAGTGTCCCCAAGTCTCTCACCGACCCCATGTCTTGCAGGCTAGGAACTGCTGTCTGGACTCTCTGTGCAGAGCTGCTCCCCCGCGGATCAGTGTGTAGAGAGAGGAAGGGAGGGAGATGCTGTAACTTCTTATCCCTGCCTCTCTCCACACAAACAACCCCTACTGGCTGGCGCTGGTATTGCAGAATTAATCTCTGTTTATACAGAGACAGATATTTGTATTGCCGGTATTACTGCAATAGCGGCACCGGCTAGGCATCCTCAAATACCTGAGAAATACTTCTGAGAAATACCTGGCAACCATAAGAAATACCTGAGAAATACCTGGCAACCCTAAGAGTAGTCTGGGCCTGGGCCTGGGCCTGGGCCTGGAGCTGCAGCTCTATCAGCCCCTATGTTAATCCGGCCCTGCATGCTTCCCTTACACACACACACACACACACACACACAATGCATACTTCACAAACACACACACATAATGCAGCCATTGCACACATATACAGAAGCACACAATGCATCCCTTACACACACACACACACACACTGCTTCTCTTAATGCATCTCTTACACACACTCAATGCACCCCTTACAGACCGACACATTGCATTACATTACATACACAGATTCACACAATGCATCCCCCCACCCACACACACACACAAAACCACACAAAGGATTCCTTACACACAAACACACACTGCATCCCCTTGTGTGCAGGTAGTGGTTACCGTGTAGTGATTGCTTTTTCCTGTCCTAATGTGTTTTATACCCCACATCCTATAGACTGAAAGCTCATTTGAGCAGGGTCCTCTTCAACCTATAGTTGCTGTAAGTTTTCTTGTAATTGTCCTATTTATAGTTAAACCCCCCCTCCCCCCCATAATATTGTAAAGCGATACGGAATCTGTTGGCGCTATATAAATGGCAATAATAATAGTGTGACCAACCTTCTTTACCATCCATTCTCCCCCCAGTAAAACCTGAGACATATTTGGGGTATAAAACAGGCCACAACTTTATTTATAATTTAACAAATATATTTTACCAATAGATAACCATTTACTAACAATATCAACATGATATACAATTTAACCACAGACTCCTCGGTGCCTGCCCTCCCTCCTCGTCCTAACTACCATTTGGCCTCACCTTCCCATCATGCCAACCTCTAGCCCACCTTTGGCTCAGTGGGCACGTCCGTTTGTCCAACCATTTACCAGAGGTTAGGGGAGGGATCAGCCCCAACCTTCCTTCTTTCCATCTGTACTCTTGCTCCAACCCGGATTGGCAAGGACCTTACCTGCCACTAGCCCCGTTGCTTTACCCCTAAATAAGCAGACGCGACTCCCCAACCACGCCACATCCTGCTCTTAAACGTCCTGTAACCATTAAGCGCACCAAGTCTCACTTGATTATATGCCCCAGGCCCCATACTGACATTGCACCCAAATCGTTACCCCCAAAGTGTATCACCAAAACGTCCGGGACACCCAACAGACTCGCAAGCTGAACTACTCCCGGAAGCAGCTTTCCCCATTTCATGCCCCGAGTCCCAAACCATGTGACGTCCGCCAACTCTGTAGACAGGCCGAGACGAGTCCCACCAGGTCGAAACCCCCGCACAGAGATGGACCCAATAGACATAGGAATGCCCGAATAAACCAGACCCGTCTGCTGGACTCAGTGGAGAAAGAACAGGGAAAAACGCAATCAGCCCGGTCAGGCGCACATAAGACCTCCTAGACTCCCATCTACCATTCCTCAGGATAGCCTGCTCAGGGGGACTGAGCCAAAACCACCACTTTCCCGTTCCAAAGGCCACCCACTCACCCCATGCCTTAGCATACCAAGCCCAAGTGGCAGCTGACACTGATGACCAGATCCAAGCCCTCACTTGTTCAGGCCAAGGTACCACAGTTCTGCCGGGCAGGAAGAACCCTCCGTGTCCGGTGCGGCTGCCCAAAACGCCTGCCACTGTGAACGAGAAAGATTATCCGCTGTTATGTTCTTAAAACCCGAGATGTGCACAGCTCTACACGTAACATTCAAAGACAAGCAGCGCAAACCCAAATGCCTCAAAAGTCACACCACTGGAGGGGAGGAAGCTGTCAAGTTGTAAAGGGCAAAGACCACCCCCAGGTTATCACAGTGGGACACAACCCTCAATCCCGTAGAGAGGAACCCCATAGATGAACTGCCACCATAATTGGAACAGCTCTAGGAATGCCAGGTTCCTAGTCAAACACGCCAAATGCCAGGACTCCGGCCACGACTCCGCACACCACTGTGTTACCCAGGATGGCCCCAAACCCCACTGACCCCGCCGCATCAGTGAACAGATGGAGGTCGGAATGCCAGTAGGACCTGCCATTATACCCGTTGAGGAAAACACTCCACACCGCCAAATCCTCTCGCAGTGCTCGGGTAAGGCTCACAAAGTGGTGCGGCCTCACGACCCAAGACATTGCCGCCACCAAACGCCTGTTTAAGACCCTGCCCATGATCCGACACGCAAAGTTCAATTTACCCAGAAGTGACTTGCCACAACTACATTTTTCAGAGGCCCCATGCAGCCTCAACCGCCACACATAGATCTCTCACCTTCTCCGCAGGTAAGCGGCACTCCCCCACAATTGAATCTCTCTCGATCAGTCTTGTCCGGAGCCAGCGGGACCCCAAACGAACATGCCACATCAGCTACCATCTGAAAGAGCTGCGCACACATTGGAGAATGGGCAGGACCGACGCACAGAAAATCGTCAAGGTAATGAATGATGGAATCGCAACCGTACTCCTCCCTCACCACCCACTCCATAAATGAGCTAAAGCACTCAAAGTAGAAGTACGAAAGTGCGCACTCCACCAGGAGTCACAGGTCCACATAGTTGCCCCTCAAAATTACAACCCAAGAGGTGATGACACTCCGGGTGAACAGGAAGGAGACAAAACGCCAACTCCATGTCAGTTTTTTCCATCAATGCCCGCGGACCTGCCTCCCGCACCATGTGCACCGCAGCATCAAACGAAGCATAGGACACCGTACACAGCTCCGCTGCAATATCATCATTTACTGAACCCCCATGAGGATACGATAAATGATGAATCAGTCTAAGTTTTTCTGGTTCCTTTTTTGGAACCACACCCAGGGTTGAGATCCTGAGATGTGGAAGAGGAGGCAACCGAAAGGGACACACCATGTGTCCTAGTGCCACTTCTTTAGCCAATTTGTCCCGCATCACCGTAAGGTGATCCCCCACCGATCAAAGGTTCCGACAAGAACAAGGCGCTACCCTGTCTCGATGAGGGATCCAGAACCCCTCACTAAAACCTTCCAGCAGCAACTTTGCCGCCCTTCTTATTTCTATAAAGGTTTAGCCAAGGGCGCATCGCGCCTACGTCCACTGGCGTCCTCGCCCTTAGAGCCCAAGGCCTCTCCCTTCTCCTCAGACTTTCCCCGCTTGAAGAAGTGGGATGGGATCCCCCGCATCCTGATCCATGCTTCAATCTACAACACGCGCCATACTTGCACTGGTTATCATTGTATTGCCAGCAACATCCCATCCTGCGCTGACCAACTGACGCGGAGTGTGATGCCCCTACGCCGGCTCCTCCGAGAAAAGGCGAGAGGCCCCCTTGGTGGGAAGCTGGGCGAGTCATTATCGCCAGCCAGAGCCTAATGTCCATCTGGTCCTACCCCTTTTTCCGATTTCTTAGCATCCTTCTCTGCCGGAGGTAGGTCCTCCAAGGGGAGAAGGGGGAAAAAAATTCCACAAACTCCCCCTTCCAAATTCTTTCCCTTACCTTCGGCTTCAAATGCAGGCCCAGTGGGCCAAACCAACACATGTCCACCGTCCCATGGGCGGCCTGAGCAACCTCACCGCTGGAGGCCAACACAGCAACCACAGGCTAGTCGGTGACCACCACCAGAAGCACAGGTGGAACGACCTGTAACGCAGGAGCCAGGCCTGAAACAGACACCCCCCCGTTTGAGGGAGAAGATACAATGACCCCAGGGGTACCTCTCACCCCTGGCTATCCACAGAAGTGGGCAGCGGCCACGTCGCTTAAGTGTTACGCTCCCAAGCGTCCTAGAACCCCCTCATGCTCCTAACTAAGTTACCCCACTCCAGTAACTCACCTGCACCCGCTCCCCTGCTACCCTCCTCCACCTTGCCCTACGCAGCGGAATACCCACGGACAGTTGCAGGAGTAGTGAGCAGCAGAGAAGCTATGCCCGGACCAACACGCTGAACCGTATCCATGTGAACCGAAACTGCAGGATTGATCGCACCAGCTGAAGTCATTGAAGACTGGAGGAGCAGCTGCTCAGGATGGACCTGTGAAGACAGCAGAGGTAAGTGAGATCCCAACCCACCCACCCCTGCATGGGAAGGCCCAGCCCTGGAGGTGTCAGAGGTCAGAGGTAAGCAGGACCCCCCTTGCTTATAACCTGTGGCCTATTCACCCTCCCAGTGGCCTGGACAGATGCAGTGTACGGAGGTTGTGCTGCCCCTGAATGGGTGAGGAGTCTGGGGAAGATGATCTCGGGAAGTCCTAGAGTGAGTACTCACGGCCGCTTTGCGCCCGGCCCGCGATGCTGGAGAGGCTGGAGCAGTTGGAGCAGGTAGGGGAAGGGACCCACAGTTCGCGGCCGCATGGCGCCCGGTCCACGATGCAGGAGAGGCTGGAGCAGCCCGAGCAGGTAGGGGACCAGACACACAGCTCACGGCACCCGGCCCTAGTGAGCGTGGGAGCTGGGGAGGCTGGAGCACTGCGGGGATGCCGTGACTGCAGGCGGGGGAAACAGCAACCACGGTGGCACCCTGCAGATGCTCCATCTGAGTCTGAAGGAGTCGGCCACCATCCAGGAGGGCCTCAGCCTTGAGGGCAGCAAGGACTGAGTCAATGTCTGTCAGGATTATAGTTGATCCAGCATGCAGAATAGTATCACACCTAGGACTAAGGATAACGTCTAACTGGACTGAACGTACCTGAGAATAGTCAAAATACTTGCTGAGGAAGGCTGAACTTGATGGACGCAAGTCTCTTTTCAGCTATGTAACTATGAGGTCAGGCACACAGAATGAGACATCGATGAGGAAAGCCAGAAATCAAGGATACCAGAAATCAGGGAAGTCAAAACGAAGTCTAAGTCAAATACCAGAAAAACACAAAAACCTAAGGCCAGTCCTCTAATGGTGCTCTAAGGATATAGTCCTCCAGCAGATCTGGAAGATCCTTGGCCGCTGTCTTATCTAATAGAGAAAGCAGTCACCAAGCCGCTGTTTGTCCAGTCTACCTCTGTCACTAGTGTGCGGAATTCTATGGCATAGTCCGCAACGGATCTATTGCCCTGTTTTATCCGCATTAGCGCCTTGGCTGCCTTTTTTCCTTTCCCAAGGGGTTCAAAAGATCTCTTAAACTCTGTTATAAACTCTATGTAGTTGTAGGCTATAGACTTCCCCACTCTCCCATGGGGGATTAGCCCAGGCTAGAGCTTTACCGGATAGCTGATTCATCAAATATCCGATTTTAGCCCTGTCAGATGGGAAAGAATCAGGAGATGCCTCAAAGTGGTAATCTATCTGGTTAATAAAACCTGGAAATCACCACTGAACTAGGCAGAGGGGGTAAGCTTATAGTTGGAGCTCTCTGACCACTGGATACTGCCACAGCGGCATGCTGTGAAGCACTAGTCAATAAAGTCTGGAAGGCCTGGGCAAATTGATCCATACGGCGATCATGTTGTCTTGGCCACCCCCAAGTGTCCTGCCAAAGGGGTTTCATGGGCTAATCTCAGCAGCTCACCCCTGAACTGCCTAGGAACCACTAGCCATCTTTCTCCCTCCCTGGTCCCGTGCATGTTGACAGGAAGGGACTCCCAGTACAAGATATTATCATCCCAATATACACAGTGCCTATCTGTGTCAGCGCCTGGCTGCTAAGCGTGGTGTCTCAGCCCTTGCAGGGAGGGGTCACAGCTCAGAGCTTCCAGGAAATTCTTATTGCCCTCCAACCCACTATGCTGCACACTGAGTTACAGCTCCCTCTAGCGGAGCCTCAAGAGATCCTTACATATATTTACTGCTTATATATAATTGTTGTGGGACATTCCGATGTTAAAGTTCTCCAAGTAGTTGGTAAAAAGAATATCTCTCCCTGGATAGTCCAACATCCTCAATATATACCTTACAACTAGTTGGTTCTTAGTGGGCAGACCATTGGGTAGATCAGAGGGGTTTGGCCTGGCAGTTTATTGCCACTCCATATATTTTCTTAAATGATGTCTTTTGAAGAACCCAAAGTCAGAGCATATGCACCAATACCTTTTACAATGCCCTATGTCCAGCTCTGGTGATGGTTATCTTAGTAGTTTTACAGCTTAGGCCTGGTGTAAGATAAAAGCCAACAATAAAGGTTATCCAAACATGTACAAAAAAAAACAACTCATTACATATATCAAATGCCATCTCATGCTTTGGCATGACAGGGAGCTTTTGATCTCTCTGCTAGCTGGAGGAGGGCCTACTCAGAGCCAGAGCCTCCCTGGTCATCTACTGGGTTCACAGAGCTCTACCACCGGCTCAATGAATATAGATCAGATGGCTTTAGAATCTGTCTAGAGACAAATACATTCTATACCGGATACACTGCCACGCACAGATTCTAGTCACTGTACACTGCCACACCCAACACCCATGCTCTAGAAACCTTACACGGCCACACCAAGACACGCGCTGCCTATAGAAACCGTACACTGTCACACCCAGACAGGCGCAGCCTCTAGAAACCGTACACTGCCACACCCAGACAAGCGCTGTGATGGGACACCCAATCAGAATCTTGCTAACAGCCTTCCCTAGGCGCTGAGGTATAGTGGGCATGACCAGGGAATGTTATTCAGCCTGCTGGAACTCTGTGCCGGATCGGGGGCTAGCCACTTCCCGGGGAAGTTTGGACTTCCACCTAATTTGGCCTAGCAATATCCGATCCGGGTGCTTTTTGGACACATTGGGTGCCCCAGGAAGACCTTTCTGGGGATGTATGGCATGTGGGGGTTCCTAAATGTTTTATATTTTTATGCTTAGTCATGCTGACACAAGAAATTCAGTTTATATTTTTATACTTTGACATGCTGACACAAGACATTCATGGGCATATGTTGTGGGAGTGTTCTGGGCATGGTTGACTGTACCCTTGCTGTGTATATAAGTGGGCCATCTGGCCATAATAAAACCAGTCTTCATCACCCTTCACTAAGTTTCGACTAGTGTTTGGGTGATACCGCGGTAACCTGTGCAAGCTTTAATCACTCTGGAGCAGATCACAACTGGAAGGGGCGCCCTAGGCAGTAATGACCCATCTTCAGGCGGGTATACCGCTACCAGTGCAGCCTCTAGAAATCTTACACTGTCACACCCAGCCTCTAGAAACCGCACACTGTCACACCCATACACGCGCAGCCCTAGAAATCGTACACTTCCTCACACATTGTACAGGGTACTGTAAGGATGTGTGTCAGTGGTTACCTGGTGAAATCTGGCTCTCTGTGAGTGGTGTAATCTGAGGGTGTCTGTCTCTCTTGCCGTTCTCTGTTGTAATCTATTATCTTAATCTCTATAACATAGGTCTTCGAGGACTCATGCTAGCTGTGATGTTGGCAGCTCTCATGAGCAGTCTTGCCTCAATATTTAACAGTAGCAGCACTCTCTTCACAATGGATGTCTGGAGAAGGCTGAGACCTCAGGCTGAGGAGAAAGAATTGCTGCTGGTTGGGAGGTGAGAGGCCACCAGAATACTCCTCAAACTAGCCACTAATACACCCACACAACCTCATTCTATCAGTGCCACGCTCACCCAGTATGTATACCAATACTAAATTACCATATAATACCCACACAACCTCATTTTATCAGTGCCACGCTCACTCAGTATGTACCCCCATACTATATTCCCATATAATACCCATAGAACCAGGTTCAGTCCCACACTCACCCAGTATGCGCCAATATACTACTTTCCACGTAATACCAACCACTAATTCCCTACACATGATTATTGGAATATTTACTATGGATAACTCTTTTAACCCTGTGTTCCCATCCCATATCCTACCTTATCTAACTTGTGCCCCCACCTATCTCCCTGGTTACACCCTCCCTTTATTCTTCACCTCATCTATTTTATTAATTCATTTGAGATTGATTGTCCACAATTCCCACATTTTCTGTCCACCCCTGTTGTGTCTGTACAAACAAGGGGAATGGAGGTAGTGCCCAAATAGTAAAAAAAAAAATCACTAGTATATATAAGAACAAATATGAGACCAAAAGTAGAACAACAATAAAATGTCCAATATAAAACTTGCCAGAAGATATAGCCTCAGTTTTTTTCGTATTTATTCTAGTGGTTTTGACAAATTTGGCACTACCTCGATTCCCCTTGTTTGTACAATTCTAATAGTTTGTAAGGCTTAGAGGGAGCTCTACTATCTGATGTTTGCTGCCTATTTCTTTCAATATTTTTCTTTTTTTGTTTAGTAAATTAGCGCTGATCCGTTTTTCTATATTTTACCAACCAGTTGGGTATGTACCTCCCTAACTTCTTGCTCATCAAGCTTTTATTGTAGCACAACCAATCTGTACCTTTGTACCATTCAGGTGGGCTACAATATGGGGCATTGTAAAGCTGGAAGAGCAACACTGTTGCACCAAATCCTGGATATCACTTGAGGCAAAGTGCCACAACCACTTAGTATACTACTCCCCATGCATCGGTTGGGGGCAATAAGGGGCAGTAATTGCCCAGAGCACCTGCCTTGCAAAGACTTCTCATTGAGCTGCATTGGGAAGTCTGTGATTGGGCAGCCACAAAGTCTGGGAAAGCCAAAATTTTATACAACCCTCAATAAAATAAGCAAAACAAATTAAGGGGTGACACCTACTAAACTGTTTATCTTAATGGCATGTTGCTCTAAATTGTCTATTTCTGTGACAGGCTGTGGACAGTCTGTCTTGTGTCTTTCAGCATTGCGTGGATCCCTGTCGTTCAGGCTGCACAAGGTGGGCAGCTCTTTGATTACATTCAGTCAGTGGCAAGTTTTCTGGCTCCACCCATTGCAGCAGTCTTTTTTCTAGCGTTGTTTGTAAAAAGAGTAAATGAACCGGTAAGTTTCCAGTTTCTTCATATTTAGATTCTGAAAGCATGTCTTGGCACTTAAGTAACAAAATGTTACCCAAGTACAATGTGCGCTAAAAAGCTGCCTCCAACCTATCCTCAACTGCAGTTTCCCCCAACTGACCTTCTGTCCCAATTTTTCCCCAACACGGACCTTCTGCTCCTATCCTCCACCACCATCCTTTCCCAACACTGACCTTCTGCTCCTAACCTCCACCACCATCCTTTCCCAACACAGACCTTCTGCTCCTATCCTCCACCACCATCCTTTCCCAACACTGACCTTCTGCTCCTATCCTCCACCACCATCCTTTCCCAACACTGACCTTCTGCTCCTATCCTCCACCACCATCCTTTCCCAACACTGACCTTCTGCTCCTATCCTCCACCGCCATCCTTTCCCAACACTGACCTTCTGCTCCTATCCTCCACCGTCATCCTTTCCCAACACTGACCTTCTGCTCCTATCCTCCACCGCCATCCTTTCCCAACACTGACCTTCTGCTCCTATCCTCCACCACCATCCTTTCCCAACACTGACCTTCTGCTCCTATCCTCCACCACCATAGTATCCCACTGACTTTTTCTCTGCCCCCCCAACCTCAGCTACCAGTGTTAATTTTAGTCGACTAAATTTTAGTTGACTAAAACAATTCAGATAACTAAATCTGACTAAAACGGCTTTTTAGTCAAAAGACTATGACTAAAACTAAATTGAAATTTGCCACCAAAATTAATACAGCTCCAATCGTCAGCCCAATACAGATCATGTGCTTACATTCTTCACCACGATCTCATCCCAACACTAAACCTTCTCCTTTTATCTTCCACTCCCACCCACGACAGACACACTATGCACAGTAAACGACACAGACTATCCACAGTTACTAGCGCACACCAACACTGAACTTTTACTAAAACTACTCTCTTTCCCCTGCCAGCCATTCATTGCAGATAAAGACATTACATTTGAGAGTTCTGTATTTATTAATTTGGATAAGTGGACATATTGAAAAAAAAAAAGTCAGTTCAAGCCTGGAGAGCTGCTTTCAGTAAAGTATATAAAGGACAATGTGCTAATTATGGTGCTGAAAACCTTATTTTACCCATTCCATTGAAATGCATGCTGTGTGTTTTCTTCTCTGCAGGGTGCATTTTGGGGGCTGGTTGGAGGGCTTCTACTGGGTTTGTGCCGAATGGTGCCAGAATTTGCCTTTGGTTCTGGAAGCTGCTCTTCTCCTAGCTCCTGTCCTACCATCATTTGTGGGGTTCATTATCTCTACTTTGCAATCATCCTCTTTCTGTGCTCGGCGGCTATAATATTGGGAGTATCATACTGCACTCCCCCAATTCCTGATGCCCAGGTAAGAAATCCATTTGTTTAATTATGCGCTTTCCAAGAAGGAATATTGGGGAGAACCCAACATACTTCCCTCCTTTCATGTCTTTTTCAGCTTTATCGTTTGGTGTTCAGTCTACGGCACAGTCAGGCACTAAGAGAAGAAATTGGGGATCCAGGTAGGTAGTGTGTGTATTTCATATGACTTAGAGAATGGCGATTTGCTAGTTCATTACTTGTGATTACAATAGCAAGACATTCAAGCTATATGAATTTGTTTTATGCTTCATGGACCTATAACATGAATGATTACTGCTTCCAGGCATCATCGAGTCACATCCACAAGAAAAAGGCTCCGTTTTGCCTGACATTCAAGAGTCTCCACCGTACGCCCGACTTGTGAACATCAACGCCTTGATCATGATGAGCTGCGCTATCTTCCTTTGGGCATATTATGCTTGACTCTGCAGAAGCAGGGTGGGTTGGTCTATAGAGGGCAGTGGAACATTCCTATATGTATATTTTATTAAATAAAGTCTATGCCATAGTCCTACTTAGTGCACTTTACTTCAGGAATCAGGCTTCACTAACACCCTGGACTCAGGCAATCAATCTTCCAAAGGATAACCAATGCTTTTCAGACTTGGAGGCGGTATTCCCAATCTACGCAGGGTGCTCATGAAATATTTTGGGGGTGGACACTGCAACACAATTGGGTCCTCTTCTGCTGCTTGTGCTGGTAGGCTTATTTGTGCAGCGTGCAGATGTAAGAGGAGGGAACGTGCTTGAGGGAGAGAGAGACGCAGAGCTTGGAGGATTGCCTTAGGAGGTTTCTGTGAGAAAAGAATATATATAAATATATATATATTTATATAGTGAGCACTTACAAAAAAAAATTCCCTCACATTCTTTTCCCATTCCCAACTTGGCCTCTGGTACCTGTGGAGCAAGTCGTCCCCAATGAGAGTATTTATGATCTCCAAGGATAGGACAGTTTAGGCCATAAGAGAGATGGACCCGGAGCTGGTGTTTAACTCCTAGGGAAAGGAAATCAGATAAACCAGAAATTATTTGTAGTTTTCATTGTGAAAATACTTAACCTTTAATAATAAAATATAAAAAAGGTCATTATCTATTAAAAATCAGATCATATTAATTATAAGAAGTTATTGAAATTAACCAGACAATACAATCGAGATCCATTGGGTATAAATGTAAAGGACAACCTTAGATCAAGTGTATCTTACATGTATGTGTATCAGAAGACTCCCAACCTACTAAGAGGCGGTTATAAATAGACCTAACCTATTAAACCTGGTTACAAATCGATAAATACACCAAGTCCGTTCTATCTGAACTAGTAAGACCCAACCTATAAAATGGCAGACAAGGAATATTCTGTGGACTCGCCCAGGTTCCTATGATATCCGGTTTAGTGAGAATTGTGCTGATGTTTTAGTTGCGTGCTATTTGCTGTGACTTTACCGGTTATTGGATGCAGCTCTAGAAGGGAGGCTCCATCAGCCTCACACAATGTACGGTAACGTGTTACAGCCTCCCTTGCAGACCGCGAAATGCGGATTTTCTTTGTAGATCCATCTTTAAAAACGTGTAACCGTGGAGATAAAGACATCTTTAAAAAAAAAAAAAAAGTATGTTAGTTTATATATTGATAGGCAGGAGAAGGTGGCAGACATTGTATAACCAACAGCTGTTACTTTATAATGTCTTTGAGGGCCATCTGTCTCTCTCTCCACAACTGGAATGTCTAAAATTCCCTCCAAAGGAGTGGGAACACCAATACACAGCGCCCTGTGGAAATAAAATGATTATATAATTAAAGATACAGCAAAACTATTCTAACCAGCAATCCCTGCATTAACCACCACGAAACATCCTGACACTCCCAGCATGCACTGCTCCTCAGCGATCCCCGTAATAACCAAACATCATGACACTCCCAGCATGCACTGCTCCTCAGCGATCCCCGTAATAACCAAACATCCTGACACTCCCAGCATGCACTGCTCCTCAGCGATCCCCGTAATAACCAAACATCCTACACTGCCAGCATGCTGTGCTCCTCAGCGATCCCCGTAATAACCAAACATCATGACACTCCCAGCATGCACTGCTCCTCAGCGATCCCCGTAATAACCAAACATCCTGACACTCCCAGCATGCACTGCTCCTCAGCGATCCCCGTAATAACCAAACATCCTGACACTCCCAGCATGCACTGCTCCTCAGCGATCCCCGTAATAACCAAACATCCTGACACCCCCAGCATGCTGTGCTCCTCAGCGATCCCCGTAATAACCAAACATCCTACACTCCCAGCATGCACTGCTCCTCAACGATCCCCGTAATAACCAAACATCCTGACACTCCCAGCATGCACTGCTCCTCAGCGATCCCCGTAATAACCAAACATCCTGACACTCCCAGCATGCACTGCTCCTCAGCGATCCCCGTAATAACCAAACATCCTGACACTCCCAGCATGCACTGCTCCTCAGCGATCCCCGTAATAACCAAACATCCTGACACTCCCAGCATGCACTGCTCCTCAGCGATCCCCGTAATAACCAAACATCCTGACACCCCCAGCATGCTGTGCTCCTCAGCGATCCCCGTAATAACCAAACATCCTACACTCCCAGCATGCACTGCTCCTCAACGATCCCCGTAATAACCAAACATCCTGACACTCCCAGCATGCACTGCTCCTCAGCGATCCCCGTAATAACCAAACATCCTGACACTCCCAGCCTGCACTGCGCCTCAGCGATCCCCGTAATAACCAAACATCCTGACACTCCCAGCATGCACTGCTCCTCAGCGATCCCCGTAATAACCAAACATCCTGACACTCCCAGCATGCACTGCTCCTCAGCGATCCCCGTAATAACCAAACATCCTGACACTCCCAGCATGCACTGCTCCTCAACGATCCCCGTAATAACCAAACATCCTGACACTCCCAGCATGCTCTCAATGACCAACCATTAGCTGAACAATGGCTTACTCACCAGTAGACCTTTTGCACTCTATGCTGCCTCAGTAATTTCTGTACACGCTCCGCAGCCTCCATGGTCCTGGCTAGAATTAATGCCCCTGTGGTGTCTCTGTCCAGTCTATGGCAAAGTCTCAATGGCTCAGCGCTTCTCCCACATAGCATCTCAGACAAAGCAGGGAGCATAGAGGCCACACTCTGCTTTGTGGAAGGGCCACCTATGGGAGAAAAGAAAATAAACTATAGAAAGATTGCTAGGAGAATTACATTGTGATACAACTGTCCAATTAAGCAGATGAAACAGACAAAATTCCTCTTTATTGAATGGAACAGAACAAAACCTGCCATGACATCCAAGCATAAGGCTAGCCCAAATACTGCAGGCATATATTATACGTGGGTAAACACAGTCTCCATCTTTACTGAGTGCACGATGCTTAAAAGGAACACTCCGAGGGGTTCCATGATCACTAGTGGTCCAGCAGGGGTTTGAACTCCCTGGTCGTTGAGTGTGGAAGCATGTGGTCTGAAGGCGCAGACTTCCTTGAACGGCCTGGAGCAAATGGGTCAGAGTCCAGGCTCAAAATAGCAGGGGCCTCAGACTCCTTAGTGATCACCGCCACTGAAGGAGCAATACAAAAATAAAATGCTTGTACGTCACCCAGAACTACATGTCCCAAGCTATACAAATTATAATTTCCTCTATTGACATAGGTGAAAAAGACTTGTGCCCCTCACACATCTCTATCGGTTTATCCAAAAGTTAGAAAAAATTAATTTTAATTGTTCCACAATTTATTCACAAATGGAATCTAAAATGGGGTTTATTTGCTAATCTCCGACTTCAAGTGAATTAAAATCAGAATGGCAAAAATACATGCCATTGAAAAATTCAGCAACTTAACTAACTTCACAGTTTGACTAGTTTCAGCCTATAGGAACCATTGATTATCTCAAGATTTTATCAAAAACCAGGACTTGTGATAGAAGGGTTACTCTATAATAAAGAAGAGATTGCACACTAGATTGCTCCTACGAGATACACAAATGTTTTATTAAACCTCACAGATTATAACAAACACAAGGCAAAACATCTAAATAAGTGACAAACACCCCCATATTAGGGGCTCGTGTTTCTGCCAGAATAGGCTTGTGTAAGTTGTGGTTATTGCCTTATTGTTGATTGATTTAGTAAAAGTGTACTAGAATCCACAAATAAAAGGTAAAGCTGCACTTTTAAAGTGCACAAGCTCTAAACACACCACATAAAATACAAGATAATATAAAAAAGGTGCGCTATACCGTTCAAATCTTAGTGCACAGTGTCACATAAATGCACAAAAAAAAAAAAACTTGTGAAAATTACAATATGTGCAAAAATTTGCAAGTGAAATACCGTGAGAAAATAAAAAGTAACTTACAGCATAAAATATCACTTAGTTACTCCAAATGGGATGCAGAAATATGGTACATATGAAAAGAAAAATATAGCATAATACTGTATAAAACTTAATACAGAGACCAAGGTAATGGGAATGTAACTCACAAGGAAAGAGCGGTGGAAGCCTGTTCTAACTTATCCAGCTTGTAGCCCACAACACAGGACTGAGTGATCGTAAATGCAGCAGGACGCCAGCTCAGTAAAAGGGAACACACATTATTTCTTCCAAGTAAAAAATAGCTTCCTTATTCACCCTGAAGGACAATATCCCATCAGATGCCCATGAAAATAATGAAACCCACAATCTCTGTCAGCGGTATCCGATCTCTGGCACTGTAGGAGGCACTTCCTGGTTCTCAGAGCTTCTTACGGTCACGTGATAGCGTCGTGCGTGGACGTGATGACGCGTTTCGCCTGGGCGGCTTCCTGAGATCACATCCTTATCCGGCTGGTCCTGTCTTTTAAGGCTGTTGCCGTGGAAATGTCACTCTGAATAAGAGTCCATAGTGAGGAAAAAGGGGGTTTATCTTCTAAACGTCCATTTAGATAACCGGCCATATTAGTCTCATAAAATCACAGATAAACTGAAAAGAATGCCAGGGGAGAGATATCCAGTACATATTTCCTATCCTTAAAAAGCTGGTATATAAAAAAAAAAAACCTTATTGCATACATAATGATCTAAATAAATGGATTATATAAATAAATACACATCTCACTGGTGGATATTACAAATCTCAAAGTTTATATAATGAATAAAACACACCCAATAAAACTGTGCCATATTCAGATAAATAAAAATATAAAAATTTAAAATTCACTGCTAAAAATAGGAGATAAAAAAAGATAAAAATACATTAAAAAAAAAAAAAAAAAACGAACATCAGAAGAAATTATTTAAATCAAATTCAATATTCAAGCAATGTTCAAGAGTTTCTAATGTATGACCCACTTCATTTCTTCTTTCCCTAAGTGCTGACCACGCCAGGATCTTTTTAAACTATCTGTATTCCTAAGAACGTGAGTCCACTGGGGTCTTTGTTGTGATATATTAAAATGGGCAGATACACTATGGTGGTCCAGACCTTTCCTAATAGTATTAACACGCTCATAAATCCTTTTATGTAATGGGCGAATGGTCCTGCACACATACTGCAGCCCACATGGCCATATTAAAAGATAAATAATATTTTTTGTAAAACATGTAATAAAATCTTTAATGGTGTATTCCTCAGGTTTATATGTTGTCTTAAATTTGCTAATCCCTTTTAAGATTCTATTTTTACTGCACATTTACCACATGAATAAAAGCCTTTCTTATTTATACTTAAAAATGTATTGCTCATTTCCTTCTTAGGGTGATTAAAAGTTAGAATTTGCTGAAGACTAGGCGCACCTCTGAACTTAATAAAAGGTTTCTCAGGGTGTCAGGATATTTATATCGAAAGACATTTTGTGCTAAGATAGAAATTAAAAGTGTATATTGCCAGAGTCACTCAGAACAGAGCGGACTCCATTTTAGATTTCAGGCAAGACAGACACAAAATGTCTTTCCTTTCTGTAACTAGCCACTAGCATGAGCTAAGGAATGCATTATGTAAACAAGCCAAGTGATAAGCAATGAAACAGGGGGATGGGATGCTCTGTTTAAATGTTAATGGAATAGAAATAATTTTAAACTCAGACACTAGTGACAGAGAAGACTAAGTAATTAATTTGACTTTCTAAATTTTACAAGGTCTCATTGTAAGTAAGGGATGAAATTGAGTTTAGACATGTCAATACTAGAAATTACGATCAAAGTCGTTGCCACAAAGACTGAGGCAAACGCTTTTAACTGACAGCAAATTTAAGTTATGGTAGTCACTTTAGATATGCCAAATGACGTCAGAATCGTCATCAAAATAAGTTAACTCTTTCGAGAACATAACATTTTGATAAGGCAATTGAGCCCTCCATTGACCAAAAACTAGATACTAGATAACGTAGACACACCTATAGTTTCCTATTGGCCTTGTCAACTAATGACGTACAGAGAATCTTTCCCTTTAAAAGTTAGGACAAAGGGAAGAGAGGCGAGTTTGGGCTTTCAGATTCAGACATTCAGAGAGAGATCCAGGACACTCTGGGACTAACACTCAACTCTCAAACTCTTGGACACAACTCAACAAACACTCCTTGACACTTTGAATTTTACTATTACTTCCTAACCAACATCACTTTTGTCTATTACTTACACACCTCCATATAACCAATCATACTCGCATTTAAGTTCCTGGGACTACCTACTCATCTGATGAGAAAATCTACGTCATAACTGGTAATTATGCTGGTTTTATTAAATTAATCAAAATCTATTAATAGCAGGATACATGCATGGATAAATCACGATCAGATCCCATAATTGAGGAATCTTAATTAAATAAAGAATATGTAGTTATAACACTCCATTCTGCAGGTGGAGTCAGATAATTACATAGTACGGGTATCTTACCACGTGTTAACATACCGCTGTTTTTATCTATGTGTGTTGATTTGCTCTGAAATAAGATAAGATATCTTTTTAGGCAAATTAAAATTTGGCTTATAGAATTTGTAAATTTGACTCTTCGTGACCACTATTGTATAAAACATAGCTGTTCGCATCTACTTTTAAATTTTTTTTTTTTGTTTTTAAAGTGCTCTCATCAACATAGATGTCCAAATCTAGAAAATTTATATTGCATTTACTAAACTGGCTGCTGAACTCTAGACCCCATTCATTATGATTAATACGTTCTAAAAAAATTCTAAATCTGTTTGGGAGCCTTTCCATATATTAAAAAAAATAAATAAATAAATATTGATATCAATATATCTATGGTAGGTGACCAGGTTCGACCCCCATTCCCGGCTGTTGTAGGTAACCTCAGTCTCCCAACCTGACATAAATTGGCATAACTGGGGGCGAACCTGGTCCCCATAGCAGTGCCTTGTAATTGCAAATAAAATGTAGAATTAAAAACAAAATAATTGTCCTCTAAAATCCATCTAATACGATCTATTAAAAAAAGCACTAAAAATACCAGATTTTTCTGAAATATCCTGAATTGTATTGCAGCCCTTCTCATGGGTGATAGAAGTATAGAGTGCCGCTATGTCTGAAGTAACTAGGAAATACCCTTCTTCCCACTTAATACTCTTTATAATTTTTATTACATCTGTGGTGTCCTTAATATAGGATGGCATTCCTTTAACTAAATTCTGTAACTAGACATCCACATATTTGGACAAGTTAGAGATAGATCCGATGCCGGACACAATTGGCCTACCGGGAGGATTTGCCAAATGTTTATGTACCTTTGGCAGGGTATAAAAGACCGGCACTCTCGGAAACTCTACCTGTAAAAACTTATATTCATTTTCATTTAAAATGTCTTCATCTCTACCTCTTTTTAAAAGAATTTCTAAGGAAGATTTCATATCTATAATAGGATCTTTATATAAAACCTTATATATCCTTTCATCTTCTAGTTGTTGGTAGCACTCTTTTAGATAGATAGTGGTATTCTGAATCACAATACTACTCCCCACCCCCTTGTCGGCTGGCTTATCTCTATATTATTTCTTAAACTCTGTAAGGCTTTCTGTTCATTAAAAAATTATTAAAATTACGTTTCTGATTAGAGTTCCCTCATTTGTCAAAATCCTCAATCACAGATTTCTCAAAAATCTCTTTGGCACTCGTTCTATAATTTCTCGGATAAAAATTAGATTTGTTTTTTAAAGCAGTTTGGTTATCACTTTTTCTTGTATCAGTGTACTTAATAATTTCAAAAAACCTTTTTAGAGTAAGTGTTTGATTATTTAAGTATGTCTATGTACGCAGAAAAGAAGTTAAAATTCTTACTGGGGGCAAATTTAAGACCTTTGTTTAAAATTCTAATTTCATCATTATTTGACACAAAATTAGATAAATTGATTACTCCCTCCAATTGATCATTCTTCATTTTTTCCCGTTGTTGTGACCTAATTCCTCCTCTACATCCTCTCTGTCCCTCCTCCTTTTTAGGGGTGAGAAAGAAACCTTTCCCCTTGTTTTCCCTATAACATTTAAAAAAAATAAATAATATCATTGCTTTGTCTAGGGTCTGATTGATCTTGTGATAAAACATCAGACCTATTTGATAGTACCAGATCCCTATTTCTATACTGGGGACTTCTATCCCTTTGTTGAGGGCTTCTGTTACTCTCTGGTCTGTTATATGTCGTATTACAAGGTTCAACGCTGTTCCATTCATTAGTCTTTCTGTCCTCTGGAGTTCTCATTTAGGAGTATCCTATTTAGGAGTGTCAGAGCGGTCTATTCTCCTCTGACTATATGTATCTTGTTTGTATTTATGTTTAAAATTGTTTTATCTTCTGTCCCCATAAGCACTATTTTCTCGATTGGTGTGCTATTTTTGATGGCAGTTTCTGACCTTCTTATATTTGTAATCATCCATATCCCTTTTGTATTTTTTATATTTAGATTGTTTTACCTGATCTTCAAATTTATTTAAATTTTCTTTTGAGAGTTTTGTCAATTCCTCATAATCTTTAGTTTTCCTGCTGCATTTACGATCACTCAGTCCTGTGTTGTGGGCTACAAGCTGGATAAGTTAGAACAGGCTTCCACCGCTCTTTCCTTGTGAGTTACATTCCCATTACCTTGGTCTCTGTATTAAGTTTTATACAGTATTATGCTATATTTTTCTTTTCATATGTACCATATTTCTACATCCCATTTGGAGTAACTAAGTGATATTTTATGCTGTAAGTTACTTTTTATTTTCTCACGGTATTTCACTTGCAAATTTTTGCACATATTGTAATTTTCACGAGTTTTTTTTTTGTGCATTTATGTGATACTGTGCACTAAGATTTGAACGGTATAGCGCACCTTTTTTATATTATCTTGTATTTTATGTGTGTTTAGAGCTTGTGCACTTTAAAGCCTACGATCTACTAAGCTTGCATACAGTTTGAAACTTTCCAATTGTATAAACGAAATATGTTTATGGAACTCATTATGGTTAATGAAACTAGAAATACTCACTATTCATTTGTTATACATATATAAAGTAAATGCAAAAATCACACTCAAAAATGGCAATACCACAAGGGACCTGTGTATCCGTCGCTACGGTGGGCCTGAGAGCTCAGATGACTGTATTTATCCCCTTATAACAGTTCTCGGATGCACCATACAATTGTTTGTAAAACTCCTATTCCTTCAGAGATCTACAAATCTCTAGTTTGTATGTTTACGCATGAAAAATAAAATCAGGTTTACAAAAAAAAAAAAAAATACCCCCAGGGGCCATAGTCCTGGGGCAAGAGGCTGGCAAACAGGCCCCTCCAAAAACCAGTGGCGAGGTCACTTTTGCCACGGTGGCATTAGGAACTAATTAGGAAGTAAACACTGGAATGGTGAAGTGCAAGATATTTCAGTTCTTAAGAGCAAAATTTTCCAGAGTTGAAGATTTTGTTTGGGGCTTTATATTTTCGGCAATTTGGTGAAAACGAAATCAGACACCATTGTAGTGAGAGGCGCAAGTGACAGCTGGCCAGTGTTTGCCTAACAGTCTTCACTTTAAAAAGTGATAAACTTAGAAAGCCGATGGGGGTCATATTGAGCTCTACATTAGTACAAGGTCATGAGGTCATGTCTGATAAACTACGAGCAATCAGTGGCTGCCCACCCAATGGCAGCAGTTGGGGGGCTCTAAATAAGTTTAACCACACCCCAAAAAATAAAACAGGGGGCCATTAAAACAAAATGCCTTACAAAAACAATTAAGTAAAAAAAAATTAAATTACACTTACCATTAGAGGTTTTCTTTCACAGTTTAAAAAAAATTAAAATAAATGGATTGTAAAAAATAAAAATCACAACAATAATTTTGGTAATGTTGACCATATTTATTAAAATAATCAAAAAATAAATAAAAATCTAAATACATTTTAATTTCAGAAGACTGCGGAATGAATATTCTTTTTGACAATATAAAAGATTTCTGAATTTCACTTTTTTGTTTTCCTTATGCTTCAAATTGACACTATAGCCACCATATCAACTTTAGCTTAATGAAGCAGTTTTGGTGTATAGATCATACCTATTTGTTTATACAGCCCTAACCACCCCTCCCCTGGCTCTGACTGACACAGCCTGCATGAAAAAAAAAAAAAAAAAAAAGTTTAGTTTCAGATGTTTACTTACTATAAAAGTTCTCATGCTCTCTAAATTAATCCCTTAAGGACGGTGGGCGTTCTATGCTGTCCATAAGGGGCTGGCTCTAAACGCCGGCGGGTGGCATAGAATGTCCTAGCCGTTCTTGCCGCCCATGTGGCCGGCGCCATTCACCCGCTGCAGATCGCAGACAGGCTGTCACTGCGATCAGTATTTACTATGTGTCAGCCGATTTAAAATTAGCTGACACACGTGGCCGCAGTATTCTCCCCTAGCAGATAGCGGTCTGGTGACATACCTGGCCACCCAGGCAATCCCCCCTGTGGTCAGTGACCGCGATCTGCAGTCTGACCTATTGGCTGACACACGTAACAGCCGCCATTAGCCCCCTGCAGATCACGGTGGGGGGCATGCCTGTACCACCCAGGCACTCCCCCTGTGGCCAATTACCGCGCTCTGCAGCATGTGATCACAGTGACAGCCAGTCACTGTGATCACTGTTACCATGTGTCAGCCAATGATCTCAAATCACTGGCTGACACATGGTCTTTGTCCCTCTCCTCACTTCGATCTGAGAGAGAGGCAGAGAGATCGTTGCTATTGCAGCTCCAGAGAAGAAAAAAGTTAATACTTTTAATACCTTTTGGGTCAAATTTTTTTTTGTAAGTTTTC